CATCATTACTTTTGTTCCTGAAATTTTTTTTTGAATGTAAAGTATTATATGAAAAGATAAAATCGTTGCATATATTGGAATAATGTTAATTTGTTAGGCCGTTAATTTTGATAGTGTGTAATAATTATTTTTTTTCAAGTATCCATTTTATTGACAAACTTTTAAATAATAATATTTTGATGCAACGTTTAATACAATAGTGTTATTTAGGTTTGTAAAAATAAAATAAGTGAAAGTACATTAATGCAACATACAAACAGAACTTATAAGTCAATCTATAAGAGCATATTTTGTATTATTTTTAATCGAATTGGTAGCTTATATAAAACATTCCTTAATCAAATGAAATTAAATTAATAACAATTAAATCAACAAGAAGGATTGTTGAATAATATTGAAAGCCATCTTCAAAACATGCAATTTTTGCTTGAAAAAAATTTCATAAACTAAAGGAAAAGAATTTTTGCAAAAAAAATGTATTGTATGATTAATAAAAATACTTCAAAACGATATTTATTGATGGATTATATCAAAAACGATGGAAATTTAAGCTTGACATGATCATATAGAAAATTTCTGAAACAATCCTACATTGTCGTGTGTTAAATGAAATGATTTGTTCAATCCATCTGTTGGTTAAAATGATGTACAATCGGTTTACGTCATCATCTGACTTTAAGCGGTCGACATAGAATGGTATTTTTTTTAGGTTCACGTGGAGAATGATAAAATATCATAAATCAATGTAAATTAACTTAGTCATCATAGCATTTTTGAATCACAATGAGTTGCAGTTACTTTGATTTGCTGAAGTTCATGAAATGCAATGAATTTCTCATAGAATTCCAATGATCATTATTTGTGTAAAAGATAGACGATGAAAGCAACATTTCTGACTGCAATATTATATAACTGGGATGTAACACATCGGACAATTGGATGAAGGGCAAGAAAATGACAAACAAATGGATGTGACAAGGATAACGACACTATTAGGTCATCCTTTTGGGTCAAACTGTGATACATCACTATCAGTGATTTCCTTCTCTCATCAATTCTTTGATCAATTCAATCCACTAATGTTTCATTTCAGGATATTTCCACTATCCATCTTATAAAATAACTTAAATTTCAATCTACCAGATGAATTATTGCTTTCCTTTCTGTAAATTATTCATTTTTCTGGACTAGATTTATAAACTTTAGACTTTATAGATGATCCGAAAAGCATATAATCAATCTGTAAAGATTCCACTCTTTCAGCAGTGGTTTCTTTGAATATTTCAAATCGTTTGGTGAATTCAAAGGGTCATCATCTCAGTTGCCTAAATTGCATATTCCAAAGAAGAGGCACGTAAATACCTTAAATTATAATATCATTCACAACAATTTTCAATGCTGTTAAGACGATGGGCGATATCATAAACTCTCTGTTGCAGATCATTTCAATGCGTGCTTTGTGGATATTGCTTGTATTTTTTTATGATGGAGAAGCTGAGTACCAACATAATCGTATGTTCCCTTACTTTAGTTCTTCTCGACTTGTCAAAATAATAGCTTAGTAATCTTCAAATCTTCAAATTTGATATAAATGTTAAACGTGAAATGTTTTTACTATCAGTAGTGTGAATAAGCAGTTACACTTAGTTCAAAAAAAAGAAATAAAATGTGAAATTACAGAGTTTCGACGGTACACTTGCGTAATAAAAAATGACAATGAGCCATCTGATTGTACGTTGATGTTCAAAGATGACACTGAGAGGACAACAGTCAATGATAACGGCTGTTTTACAGTGAATTTTACAATTTTCAATAACTTTTTTTGCTTGATATTCTTATAATTGAAATGGCAATACTGTCCATTACGAGAGCACCAACACGTCAATGTATCTCTACTAAGTGACCATAATAGGGTCCACCACTCTGTCATTGATATATTCAAGTATGACTTGGAATAACTGATTGTAATGTACTTTTAATTTTTACCAATTTCTTTTATTCTAGGAGAAGGATGCAACACAGAATCAACTTCTGACGTATTGTCCACTGCAATGTCCAGAAGCTGAATCAGCTTATGTGATTTTGAAGCGGCCCTCAAACAATAACAAATGTTTGGCTTTTTTCACTTATAATGTTGCACAACGTAAAAATGATTGGTTCTTGTGGCGATCCGGAAAATGTCTCTTTGAAGAAATACAATTCGATATTGGTTGCACATTTCCATTTAAAAAGAATATGAATTCTAATACAATTAAGCAAAATACAGAATTCGCAGAATAAAAGCCAAAATATCTCAAAACCAGTCCTATTATTCCCAACGGGAAATGATTATCTACTGTAGAAAATTTATTCACTTCGTGCTAGAGAGATCAAAATGCAATTTTATCAAACCTTTCATTTTACAAAAAATTCAATACCTGGCAGTTTGGAACATTTTTTTGACTGCTTTTAAATTTTCTTCTAGATTACACATTTGTTGGCTTCTGAAACATTCTTCATGAATAAAACTCAGTGACAAGAATAAAACTTTGCTATTTCTATAAAAATTTTACTGTTATAGTTATTAGATGTAAAATTTTTATTTCTTGATGTATAATACAGCCAATATTGCAATTTACTATTTTATGTATTTTATGTAAAAAGACGTATTTAAATTACAAAATAAAAGATGCGCTTAAAGTGCGGCATTTTCACTTATTATCAAGGCAAAAATTTTTCACATTTGAATAAGATGGATTTTAGAAACACTCTCATTTTCTTTTCAAAATGAAATATAAAATTTTGAAAAATACTTTTTTAATTTTGGTTATTTCTGACCTCACTATTTCTATTGAGAAAAAATACTGAAAATATTGATAACTGTTGGAAATCGTCAGATCAACAAATCTTATATTTCCTCATTATCTCATTATATTTCCTTAAAACAAATGTATTGTTTCAAATCTTAATCTGATCTAATCAAATTTTGTGGAATTGATATTTATTTTATTTTTTCATGAAGGTAATTACAAAATATATGTATATTTTAATAAAAATACAACAAAATGGATAAGACAACAAAAGAGAGAATGACCATAGGTCTGCACAAAAACTTGAAGAAACGTATTTGAAGTGTCGAACTTAAGATAACAACAATTTAAATATATAATAGTCTTATTTTTCTTTGTTCAAATATTCAGTAAAACTAAAAAGAAAACTAGCCGGTGATGTTAAGCAATACGAATGACTGATAATTTGACTAAACGTGAATTAAACGAAATGATTTAGTGATATTATGATTATCTTCCTAGAAGCCGATATAAAACAGAATTCAACGTGTCATCAATGTCACCAAAGCGAAATAGTCAGCTGGTCCTGTTGATGATACACGAAATTACGAAATACTTCTAAAATATTGGTCTTTCGTGTTTACGATAGCAATCAACGAGTTACTAACTGGTAAGACCGTCTATAGTTTGAAAAAGTTAAGATAAATGCTTCTAGCAGTTTTTTAAAGCACGCAGTAAAATGAGAAGTAATATTAGAAAAAGGATTGATGAAAATAAATTTTGGATAAATAAGCAAGTAAATAATATCCTATTTATGAAAAGATAGTTTGAATTCGTAAAAGAAGAGCATTCACATAACTTTGTGTCATAAGATACTAAAATAAAGTAAAAATTTCCAGGTCTTCTAAGTGTATCTCATCTTAACAACATGAAATTTTGGAACTTGAGGTCAACAAAAAATTTTTAACCCTTGGTAAGATTGTGCTGATTACATGACAAGGTCGAGAATTGATGAGCAACAAAATGTATCAGCTTCATGGAAAGTAATATATGATGGATTAAATATCTATCACATTTTATGTTACGACTAAGTTTTGGAATTATTAGCTTGTAATTAACGAGCCAAAAATTACTTTTTCCATTTAAATTTATCCCAGAAAAAAAGGATGATATTGCAATTGACAGAGACAGAAAAATGTCCCTCTCATATATTTTTTTGCGAATGCAAACAAGGATTAAAAAAATATGGACAAACTCATTTATCAAAAGAGAAGCCACAACATTAGTGGTTAATGAAGATCGTTCTAAACCATGTCTAGTAATAGATATAAACTATTTTATTAAAGTTGAAGTCCATGTGCACTCCAATCCAGTAAATATCATTTGTGAATGTACGTCGTCCACATTAGAATATGTTGTACACAGCATAATGCATTCATAAAATATGTCACACCAATTCTCTCCTAAATTTCTCTGTCAAATAAATTTTTTTTCCTCTATTAATCTGCTTTCGCTTCGTTTTCGAAAGTCATCTGTATATGCGCAACTCTTTCCTGATCTTCATGATGTGGATAACAAAAATTTCATGTCCAGGAGGAACTCAAAAGCGGAATGACAATTTCGTATCATTCGTTATATGTATCACTGCCCCATGTTATCATACTTATTGATATTGTATTATTCAAAAACTCCATCCTTTTAAATCTTCGATTCAATATGGTTATCATACAACTAGAATATACCGAAATAAGTTTATACGACAAGAAAATGAAAAAAAAAATCGTTGCCATTCCCAATGTAACTACAGCAAGGAAGAAAACATTGATCACAAGAGAAAAATGACGGAATCAGAAATGTTAATAAATTTGAAAAAAAAAATTACGAAGAGGATATGTTGTCAATAAAAGAGATTATATGATGCAAATGCCTCATGAATTCTATAAATTTATTGAATATTAATCACTGGTAAGGGACATGGAAGGATAGTCGTACTTTTAACTGGAAGGATCCTCTTATCCACAGCACCACATTGCATTTAGGAACTGTATTTCTTCAGCTCCCACACTTGGATTTCCCATGTGCGCCCACAGTTCTCACCATTTCATCAACTATCAAAGTTAGCAACAAGCACTGCCGTGCAAATAAATGAATAATATCAATATTTTGAAGTCGGTAAACAGTAGTCATAAATTTGAATACAGAAATTGACCGCTCGCCTCAATATCAACAAAATTAACCGCCAAAACCATAAAGAGTACGTCCTTGACGTTTCAAGGCATAAACAACATCCATTGCTGTAACCGTTTTTCGCTTGGCATGTTCACAATATGTCACAGCATCACGTATAACGTTTTCCAGAAAAACCTATAATTGAAATCTCTAATGGAGAGCTTCGACGATTAAAAGAAGGTATATGATCCACTTTTTTTTGAAAACACAACAATGATCAAACGCTTGAAAATGTTACCTTCAATACGCTACGCGTCTCTTCATAAATGAGACCTGAAATCCGTTTCACGCCACCACGGCGCGCCAAACGACGAATAGCTGGCTTCGTTATACCTTGAATGTTATCGCGAAGGACTTTGCGATGACGTTTAGCGCCACCTTTTCCAAGACCTTTACCACCTTTTCCACGTCCAGACATTGTAAATAAGCAAAGTTAGTGTCCTGAAATCAACGCTGCTTATATCATAAACCTTCAAATAATCAGCAAACGATCGCACAATCCATTTGACAACAATCCAAGAATTAACCGACTTCAGAATCACCCTATGCCACAAACAGAGGAGACACACATGACTCCGTACCACCTCGATGGTATCGCAGCGACGTTCCTGATCTCAATTTGAAGCCAGCTGATACTGGCTAGCAGCGTTGACAGGAGAGGGAATCGTTACTGTATGGAAGTGCGATTCAGTTCATTTCGAGAATTTCTATGACAGTCAATTTGCATCGATAGTTACGACTATCTTCAGTCTGATACACATGTTCTGCATATTATTGATCTCATATTATGCACATCGCACCCAGATTTTATCACTGCCCTCCTGTCTGGAAAATAAATCTCCATTATAACTAATGCTGATTTTTTTTCATTCTGGAAAACAAATCTCCATTATAACTAACGCTGATTTTTTTTTCATTCATCACAATAATTTTTCACACATATATTATTTTTTTGCATAATTATTAAAGCCGTAAAGATATCTTGGGCATTATAGTAGCCACATTTTGGTAGCACTAAGACCCGCCGAAAGTCAAACACATCCTGGTCCTAGGCCACGGTCACTTAAATCACATTATCTTTCTGATTGTTCATTGAACAAACTAAGAAGTTCCAAACAAGCCGTATGCAACCCGTGAAGTACAAACAGGATTGAACGATTTAAGCAGGATGATCTCTCAAAAATGACGTACTCATCATCCGATAGAAACCTTCCGATGGGTACGGGACAAACCGTACAAACCGGTATTTTGCGGTGGTTAGCGGTCTGAGTAGATAAATTTATTCCACAATTATTTTGTGGTGCTGGTGTATATTTGATGATGATGTAATGTGAGGTTATAGTGATGTTGCATACGAGATTAGGTATTCTGCAAGGTTTGGGATTTTTGAAGTATATAAAATTCAAAGGGTGTAATGATAGGAAGTAACCGAATCAGAGAGATGTTGCTCTTTATCAGTGGAAGAGGCTACAAGGCAAAATCTACACTGAACTTCGGGGAAAAAATGTTGCATCATCGATAAAGGCGAGTATTTGTGCTCTGTCCTGGCTGCAATCATGTCCGGAACAGAACAATGTTGCAGGAATGTTTGTAAGGTTGCCGTTCTCGACAGAATTGTGAAGGCGATGGGTGAAAAGTATAAGGAGCGGTATGCAAATTTTAATCAGTTTACTGCAAAATTTTAATCAATTTTAATGAGTTTACTTCTTGAGTGTGTGTGTGCATGTGTATGCGTGTATGTGTGTGTGTGTGTGTGTGTGTGTGTGTGTGTGTGTGTGTGTGTGTGTGTGTGTGTGTGTGTGATAGATTTCTGAAAATGCCTCGACCCCGATACATTTGAAATAAGCTGCTAAGCGAATTTCCAGTTATGCTAAATTTCACATTACGAGTGACAGTTTAGCATCAACAACTTATCTTTCATTAAGCTGTTCCTAGCTATGGATTTTCTTGACATAACCATCAGTCAAGTGCAAATGCAACTTATTCTGATTTTGTATTTAGTTTTGGAGTAAGTATGAGATTATTTGAAGTTTTATACAAAAAATTTTACTTTGCAAATCTGGCGCAAATATCAGAAATGATACTCGTTTCAGATTGTTGCAGTTAGAAAAAGTTTTATTGTTAGAAAACGCTGAAATAGATCTGGGTGAATTGAGACTCTGCTGCAGTTTTGGTAATTGATCTTCCATATTTGCATGTAATAAATGCTGTTATTTAAGATTATCATGAGGTTATTTATTTAACTGCTCAAAAGAAGTCACTTTAAATTCCAAATCAGTCCATATTGTTAAAATATTTTGCCTACTTATGTTGCCACTAGGTTATTCACTGATATCTTCCAAATTTATTTCAGCTGGATGAAATATCCATTTCTAAGCTTCGTTAAACAGATTTTAGCTTTATAAATTTTACATCAACATTATCATTCAACTGTTTGCTCTCAAATGAGGATTAGAGCTTTTTTATAGTTAAATAAACTGCAGTTTTTTTGGATTATACTGTTTACATATACTGTTTACATACAATCTATTTAACTTTTAGGTGTTCCTGATTCCTTGCGACCGCTCTGTTGGCGTCTACTTCTTGGTTATCTACCTATAGAACGGCAGCAGTGGTCTGTCTACCTTAGAAAGCACCGTGAAATTTATAACAGTCTTGTTGAAGATGTAATTGTTCATCCTGGCCAGTTATCTATAGCGCCAGATCACGAAACTACCGAAGATCATGTACTTTATTTTGTTTTAATGAACTTACTGAATTATGGTGTAAATAGTTCATTCTTTTGCACAAAATTAACTAAAGAGGAAAAAGTTCATGCTGCTATTGTCAAAAATTAGAATTATATAGCTTATTTAAATAAAAAGGAAGTGGTTGATTGGTTGACTTACTGAATGGAAGAATTTGGCGATGGAGTATTCCATTTTCGTGTTTTTAGCCTTTAAATCTCAATCCAAGCAGTGAATGGAATAATTATTTCAAGGACAATGAAGTTCTGGCCCAAATAGATAAAGATGTTAGACGGCTTTGCCCAGAAATCGATTTTTTCCAACGAATTACTTCTTATCCGCATAGGTATGCTTTACAAAAAAGCAGTCGAAGATTTGTTTGCAACGGCATGTTCATATTCATTAAATTCGACATGATTTCTAGCATTGTCTGGTTTTTTTACCAACAGTTTCAGTACATAATCATACTTTTTTCCACAGATATGAAATTTGTTTGAAATTAGAAAGGGATATATTCAATATATCACCTATTGATGGCATAGTTGCTTATTAGACACGGCGATATACCAATCTCAAGTAAAAGTCGTAGTTTCATTGCCAAGATTAAATTTAATCTATTTCGTCGTTATTAGTTTAACTTGCTGTTTTATTTTTAGATCAGCAGCAAAAATCAATTTATCACGTCGTATTCAACAAGAGAACCTTTATTCTGAAGTTCCACCAAGTAGTCATTTCAGTGCAGGGAATGTCAGTTCTTTTTACCATATCAGCAGTTTGTCATATTCCGCTTTTCATCATTTTCTTCACTTTCTTTTTTTTCAGTTTATTGCTTCACCGACTAAAACAGCCAGCAAAGAATATTCCAATGTGGTTGACGAAAATGTTGAATACCATTGGCAGGTGGTTGAAAGAGTATTATTCATGTACAGTAAACTTAATCCAGGAGTTAAATATGTGCAGGTTATTTCGAAATTATTTTGTTGCATAAAGTTACAATGTATGGAGATTTCTATTATTTTTTTATCACCCAATTTAAGGATTATTGTAACTTTTAAGGGGATGAATGAAATTATGGGCCCGTTGTATTATGTATTTGCAAATGATGCAGATAGCGAATGGGCAGAAGCAGCTGAAGCGGATACATATTATTGTTTTCAATTGCTGATGAGCGAAATTAAAGACAATTTTATTAAAACTTTGGACAGTTCCAACTGTGGCATTGGTAAGACTTATTTAATCAATATGATTTGCTGAGCAGAATTGATGGCACGACTTCGTGTTGGACACAGCACTGGTTTAGTGTAAAAAAAGAATAACTTTTTGGTTTATTTCTCAGTTTATATTATTTAATCTATTTGCTAGCTAGGATTTGGATTATTTCGACATGTAATAGTGTCACCTCAGATTTCTAATTCCAAATGTTTTCGCAGTTCTTATGGGTTTCAAAAAATCAAGAGATTAGTTTTGCCATTTTTTCATTTTCTTGTGTTTACAACGTATTCTACGTAGTTCAATGAAAACACAAAGAGCTCAATTTCCGTTCAAGTAATTTGACTTTTGGCAGTATAGATGCAGTACTTCTTAAATTCGCCCATTATTCTTTGTTTTGCTGAATTGAATCCCAACATGAGGTTATCCACGTTACAGAGTCACTTCTGACGGAATTTAATGAAAGACTGAAGAATTGTGACCCTGATTTGCATAATCATCTGGTCGATGTGGGCATCAAACCGCAATTTTATGCATTCCGGTGGCTTTCTTTACTTTTGTCACAGGAATTCTCCCTACCAGGCAAATGTTTTTATCTTTGACACAGAATTCATTTTGTCTGTCTAGAAAGTGGCTTTCAAAGATTTGATCTGCAGATGTCATTAATATATGGGATTCGTTGTTTTCTTCACCTGATCGTTTGCGATTTCTCCACTGGATATGTTTAGCGATGATGGAAAAAGTCCGTGTCCCATTGCTTGAAGGAGATTTTACAGCATGTTTGGAAATGCTACAAGTAATCTGATTTAACAGTTATATCATGTCATAGTGATATTAAGGAAATCAAATCATTTGAGTTTCTTTAAATCTGCTGCCAATTTGAAGCCATGATAACGTTTAACTATCATTTAAATGGGAATTGATGTATTGCTGAGCTTCATTTTACATTTCCATTGGTTGTGTATGTTTGGGATCTCTAGAAAATCTTTTTTATACTCTAGCAACGAGAGCTACTGCTTTAATGAAATGACTTTTTTCATTTAAATACAAGACCTTTGAATGAGTTCACTTTTCAGAATTATCATGAAACCGACGTTGGAGAATTGATTGTGGTTGCACACAAGATGAACGAAGGGTGCTATTGTTTTAAAAACTCGTATAAAGATACTAAGAGTGGTTTTTCGAAGTTGGAAATAAATCCGACTGTTAAACTTGCCAATGCCTTCGTTAATGTTCTAAGGACATTGTCAAAGAAATAGTAGTTTGCTGTTATTGTTCTTCAATATCATAATTATTTATTTATTTTTAAATAATAGGTGTTTTTGAAGGAAGTATACTCCAATATTCCTAGTCAAGAAGGAGGGACAGTTCCAATAAAATAAGTAGATAGCTAGGTAAAATAAGTGTGAAACTTATCTATGACATATGCCGCATATGTGGTCCTTATGAATATGGAATAAACCTTATGTATTGGACGTGAAATTGATATTAATTAATAGTAAGTAAACATTTAGCTCTATAATCTATGTTGTTGAAGAATAGTAGGGTAAGTAATGTTAGACATAAAAAGAAAAGGCAGCATATTTGCTGGGAAGTGTATATCACTTTTGCACGAAGTCGCAAGGTATATATATATTTTTCTCCTCTATTTGTCTTATAACCATTAAAATAATGTTTCGCTTAATTATAAACTGCATTAAGGCGCTCATGTTTTTTTTCGCTTCGTTATCGTCCCTGCTATTAAGAAATTTCGTTAAATTATGCAGAAGTGATTCGTATCAGCTTTAAATTATTAAAAGTAAAAAACAGTGTTTTCATCGCGCTTCATTTTGTATAACCTAACTTTGTTTGATGTCATATTACCCAATGCTGTGTAGGTCCATATTCATCAATTATTTGAAATCTATATTCTGTTTTTGAAAAATTTTTGAACATATCCTTGAGATTTTTTAGTATAATGACATCATTTCATCATTAGTTGCCTTAAAGAGAACATTGCCTTAATTGGATATTTGTTAATTTGTAATAGGTTGCCGATTCTGTAGTGCTGTATGATACTCTTATTGACATTGTTCTATTCTTGATGTATTTATACATTTATATTTTGGTTTAGCAATCTGAAAAAAAAAGCATGAAAATGTTGAATTCGTTGACAAACATTTCAAGAAACCTTGTGGTTTAGTCCACCGGAGTATTGGTTTAATTTCTTTTTATTTAATCTTTTTATATTTAAATGATTCATCCAAATAATTCTGCTTACAGTCTGATGATTTAATTATAGGTATAGTAAGTGGAGTAATATGATAGTTGTCATTTTGAGCATTTTTATAATGAAATTTAACATCTACGGAGAATGGTAAATAATCATTATCCCGATTAAAGCGTCAGCATTAGAAATGGATAGGATTGGTCACGGAAGATTCAAGCATTAAAAATTTTGCGCGGAAAATGTAAAACATTGCAGATTCTGACTGGAGATTGGTGTGTACGTATATTTGTGTGTATTGATATATATGTGAATGAAAGCCAAACTTATGCTTTAGAAGCAGGACGCTCTTCAGAGGTTTTCTTAACACTTCTTTTCAGTCTTCTATTTGTAAAGTGATCAGCAACGATTGTCAGCAAAATGAGCAACGAGTTCAAACAGGGAAGCAGTAGTACAACTCCAGCTTCGGTGAACAGTCAAAACAACCCAACACAGGGTGTTGCGACGCCACAACAAAAAACTGTCGGACGGGTCCAGGGTTCCACACCATCCGGTGCGTTCATTTTATTTTTCGATTCTGACATTCTCTTCATAACTTGATGTCGTTTCAGGTTCCATTTCAAACCCAGTAACTACGCAGAGTGTGGCACCTCAATTTGCTGTTGCTACACCGCACAATGTGACACACAATGCTAATCCAGAGGTTTTCAATTTTTTCTTGGTTTGAGAATATTTGATGTCAGTCTGTTTGGTTATATTAATTAAGCGAGAAATGGAAACTTTATCCAGAAAATATTGCTGTCGATAATGCTGTTTTCAGGTGCTCTCCGTTTTCGAATGCCCAGTTTGCATGGATTACATGATGCCACCTTATCTACAATGTCAGAGTGGTCACCTTGTATGTGGCAATTGCCGTCCCAAACTAACATGCTGCCCTACCTGCAGGGGCCCAGTTCGTATGTTTCTTCAGTATTCAAAGTTTAAAAAATTTCTCTTGTCTTTAAGCATTTTATTTCCACTCCAAGAGAAGAGGGGAGAAAGCAGGAGATAATTTTTCCAATCTTATCTAGTATAATTGCACTGCAATTATACTCAGCTTTTATGCTTTTATTCAATGTCATTTATAGCAAGTGTTCGAAATTTGGTACTGGAAAAGATTGCCAATACCGTTATGTTTCCTTGCAAATTTGCTGGTTCAGGTTGTCCTCTTACATTTTCACACGTTGAAAAAGTGGAACACGAGGAACTTTGTGAGTTTCGGTAAGCATTTTTTGCTTTTGTTCTGGTCCCAATTCATTTTATGAGGAAATATGGGTCTCTCCTAATAGGCAAGTATAATATTCGCTTGCGAAGTGTTCATTATCCCTTATTTTTGATAACATTTTACATCTCAGTAAAAATATTTTATGTTCTTTACTGTGCACATTTCTAGCCCATATTGTTGCCCGTGTCCCGGTGCATCGTGCAAGTGGCAGGGAAGTCTCTCGGAAGTTATGGGACATCTCATGAAAGTTCACAAATCTATTACCACTCTACAAGGTCTGTTCATTTTCGTTTGCTTCATGGAAGACGAAAACATCTTGGTATCACTGTTATTCATCAACAGCATGTTTTTGCTTCCTTCTTTGTTTTGCGTTACGAGTAGCCTATATTTCAGAAGTTAAAAAAAATGAAATAAACATGTGAATTGTCTATATTTAGGTGAAACTTTTTTTCGGCTTCCTAGTCATGAGTTAGAAAGTCAAAGCTCGTCGCTTTTCCTGCATCACATTTAAAAGTGATTGTGAAGAGTAAGCATTTGAATGAACCTAATTACAGGTGAAGACATCGTCTTTTTGGCTACTGACATCAACCTACCTGGTGCTGTAGACTGGGTAATGATGCAGTCTTGCTTCGGTTATCACTTTATGCTCGTGCTAGAAAAACAAGAGAAGTTCCAGGATGGCAATCAGATGTTCTATGCTGTTGTGCAACTGATTGGTGCTAAGAAAGAATCCGAGAATTTCATGTATCGGTAGGTTTTGTATTGGGCATAGTGTGTTGGGCATGGAGTATTTTTAACAGTCGGCTATTCAGGTCTAGTTCAGTTTACCAAGTAATTCTGGACGTTATGGTAAGCAGGTTGTAAGACACTGTTGGGCTATGGTCAAGAACTTTCTTGATACTTCGGGAGATTTTGATGTGGATAAATAGAATTGATGCTTTCAAATAGGAGACAGTGTGTGAAAAAAAAAATTGAGTTGGATTTCAGTACAAAAATTCTTTTAAATTCGGTTTATAGAATTTTTTATCCTGTTTGCAGGCTTGAATTAGCGACACATCGGCGTCGTTTTAGCTGGGAAGCATCTCCGCGTAGCATACATGAAGGTGTGTCACACGCAATATCTTTGTCAGATTGTATGGCGTTCGATAGCCAGACAGCCCAGTTGTTTGCCGAAAATGGCAATCTGGGTATCAATGTAACGATATCTATGGTTTGAACTTATTCGAAACTAAGCTGTTATTCGATGTGATGTTGGTGATAGTAATGGAAAGAAGGACTAGTGGGACGAGGGTAGAGAATGGTTCGTACGAATTTATGCTTTCACTTATTATCAGCAGCAACGACAGTATTTATAAAATACTTTTTTAACAATAATCTCGGGACAGCTTAGCGTATATTAAACTATCCCCAGACGTTGTACATATGGGTTCAGTGAATTTCCACTTACTTTGATTACTTTATCTTTTAAAAAAATTAATGTCATCATTATCATTGGTACAGGAGCACAGATTCTGAAAAGACAATGGAGGTAAATTTGAAGGTTGAAGTCTTCAAGAGAAAGCATACTTTCACAATTGCAGTGGATTTAATGTACGCTAGCTCTGTAGTTTGATGCGAGAATTTGCTTTTATGCGTAAATGATAATTACCTGCATCCAACTTCCCCTTAACTATTTTCTTTATGATATCTGCAGTGCATTTACCAAAAATTGTGTTAGAAATCTTTTCCTCATAACGGCAAAAGATTCTGTTAAAAATAGACATAGAGTCATCATTTACCACGATTCCCCCGCAAATTCATCTTAATCTGATCTCTTCAGATGACCATAATATGCCTGTATCAAATTAGTTGCATCACCCGTCGTTTGCCGAGCTATATTCTGTGGGGTTTTGGTTTCATCGTAGTGTACATTTCACTGCACTCTTTATACTGTCTGATTTTGCTTACTAATCGTTATTTTCTTATGCTTGTTTTAATACGAAAATCTGTTTTTACTGTTTAGAAAAATACAAATTATGTTTATGATGACAATCCTGATTCCAGAATACGGATAGCAGTGAATTTTTTTAGTTTATTCTTGTTGAAAGACTGTTGCTTGCATTTCTGGCGTGTTTTAGTGTATTCCTGAAATTACCACTCTCATTATTCGAAAACTGACCTCTGTCATTATTCTTTATATAGAGTATGTCTTGTTGATGAAATTCTGTAATGGTCCTTGGCCAAGATGGATAATGATAGAAGAGATAGGGCAGTTGGCGAAATCGGTTGCTGTATTTTTGTATATACGTAGTCTGCTTTGTTTATATGTTTTGTGTCGGACGATGATAGCATGCCGCCCGCATTTATTGCATAAACGTTCTTGTTTAAATTAGATTTAACTAATGACCATTCGTTAAATTGTTGGCCATTCAATCGTCATCTTCACTAGTTACCCGAAAGAGGCAAGAATCTAAACCAAAAAAAAACGAATTTTTACTCCACACAAAATTTAAACGATGCGATCCCTTCCAAACCAAATTCGATACAGTCACCAGATTTTACAGCTGTTACGCCTGATGGTGTACCCGTGAGGAGCACATCACCTGGTTCCATGGTGACGTATTTCGTTAAAACTTCGATTAAAGTTGGTATGTCAAAAATCATGCCATTGGTTCGACAGCGCTGTTTTTCCTCCCCATTTATACGACAAAATAGCTCGACATCGTGTGGATTGCCAATCTTGCTGGCCTCAATGAAACAACCTACTGGGCATGAAGTGTCGAACGATTTTGCTAAGAACCAAGGCGTTCCTGCCTTCTTCGCTTCATCCTGGAAGTTATTGTATGTCAAAAACTGTGCTCTACAGCACATCAATTATTGGTATTTCAAGCTTCAGCAATTACACCACTCCAAAGTTCATGAAAGCAGTTAGAATTTAGGATTTTGGAGACCGGAATTTAGAAACCTTGGAATTTTTTGTCCACAAAAAAGAGTCTGATGACAAATGACCTGGAAATCCCGAGCTGTCATGTCCAAGGCTACTGTGTACCCACCAATATAGTTAAATGCTTGTGTGGATGGAATATTTTTCGCCGTCCTGCTGAAAATTACACCGAGTTCCACTTCTTGATGTAATAGTTTACAGCCAGGTGGTGGGATAATAGGCCGTCCTTGTGACACATAACTGTTTGTTGATTTCACGAAAAACAATGGTATTTTTGGTACCGTATTTCCCAATTCCAAAGCATGCTCCTGTAAAATCCATTAATTAATTAAACTCTTCCAATTTATGTTGCGTTCGCAAAAATGAGCACTATGTGTATACTCATTAAATCTGACAAACCTTATAATTCCTACCAACACAAACAATCTTCTTTCCAAGAACACGAAAGTTTGACAACTGCATCGCCACGTTTCAAGCAGATCTTTTCGCTAAAATGGAGCAAGTTATTGGCCGAACAGAAAGAACGGAGCGAGTG